TATTTAAGTCTAATATACACAAACATTCGGGGTCTAGATACCATATCGTGTTCATCATCCCCCGGAAGAGGAAGAAGATGAGGGCGCAAGCGCTGGGACCACCAGACATGAGCAATCGGCTGGATACGCTTTTGAAGTCCACTTTAACACAAAAACGTAGCAGAAGGCCATCTAAGCAGGAGGCGCTGCCAACGACGACGACGATAATGATGATGTGGAGTGGGACGATAAGGAGATGGTTGGAGGTGAATACGCAGGACCCGCCTTGAAAAGATGTGAACGAAAAACTCGAAGGGTAGGGTGGACTCCCAGACTGCACGTCTTATAACATTACAGCAACGAAGCTGGTCCGTCTAGGCAGCAAAAGCAAAGCCTAGAGAGAGATAGTAGCTTGTGTTCAATTATTGCGTACAATGTCACTTTTAAAGAAAGCAGTTCACATTCAAACTCCATCTCAGTTAGGATTACGAGCATTTCTATAAAGCGAGATCGGACTGGGCGCAAACAAGGGGGGAGCACGACAACCTCAGGCTCAACGCGCTTCATAAGTCACCAACGATTGATTCCTTTCTTAGTTTCATGGGCCTTCCAGAAACCTGCTTAGGGGTCCATCCCAAGCTCAGTTCGACTATAGCTGATGCAGGTGCGAACACTGTAAAAGAGCTGATTGTGATGACCGGACTGGCCGGGTTGAAGGAACGGAAAATAAAGCAACAAGTGCGTTGCTTACCTGCGATCTAATTCAATAGCGTCAACAGCCTCACCGGTCGTCTTGTCAACCTGAAACAAAGCGTAAAAGGCAAATACGTCGACCAGTTCGGAAAACAGGCAGCCCTCTTTATTCTCCTTGTATAGACGGCAAGTTTGACAGCGGATGACTGTCTGACGGTCGTCTATGAGAACGATTAGAAAACGGCGGGTCAGGAGCATGCTGGACAGATCGATGAGTAGGAGAAGACATCTCTGCAAATAGTGAGCCAGAAGAGGATCGATCTCCTGAAAATAAGTTATAATAATTTAGGCCGTATGATCTCAGTTATGCATGAGCCCAGATATTTAGCAATAAAACTTCTAAAAAATTACCCCAGCATCTTTTGGATGTTGCTCTACGATTTGTAGAAATCGATCGATGAACCTGGCTACAAAGGACCGTTCGGTGACTAACCGGTCGGCCTCCTGAGGATCTGTTAGGGCCGCAGCCCGCTTCTCAAGTTTGTGCAGGAGTTTGCGGTAACGCGGAACTGCTTCCAACTCCTTTTCCAGACGAGCCGGCTGAAGATGACGCCAAACAGCCAGACAGTACATGTCCTTCAAAGCCTGTCTAAGGACGCCGACTTCGGCGAGATTAGTGAAGCAGTGCGAGAGGAAGGTGATGAGAACTATGTGTTCAGCTAGACGCTTCTTCAGCACTTCGTTGCTGATGGCAGCACCAGTTTCCAGTTGAAGGGGTTCGTCTACGAGAATGCGCAGGATGCGGTCAATGAGCACATCGAAGTTTGATGGTAAATCCAGGAAACACTTAAGGGACAGAAATAGAAGAAAGAACAGGCTGGGTTTAGTATTTTAAAATCCGCAGTTTGGAAGGTATGGAAAACAATTTATCAGAGGTTGACATTAAATTTTCTCCGCCATAATAGGTGCGAAGAACAAAATGTGCCCTTGGAGGGAAGAAAAGTGAGTCCTACCTGCCAAATTGGAACCCGCTCCCGTGCCTTTTCGTTGACCATTGCGCAAATGGAGATTACATGTGCCCGGCTGCTGAACTTGTTGAAGTTCGGCCACAGGTAGGCCTCCAAGTACTGCGACAGTTCGAGGGTCATACAGCGTCGATGCGAAAAGCCGAAGCTAATAAGATCCTCCAGGTAGATGCGTTCAAGTAAATCAGGCTTGAAGGGTTTTTTGGTCTGACCGGTCGAATCTGAAGAGGGCAGCCAATAAGTGCGGGCAAGCTGAGCCACGCGACCCTGAGATGCATAGTCGAAGGCGGCGGAAACCTCTGTCATCTGTAGGTG